AAGGTAATACTTCAGGAAGGTTAATAAAGTACTCGTGATGCAGGACCTGCAGATGTATGGCATTGTTTGACTTGTATGACTATTGTTTTGTTTGGAGAGAGTTTCAGGAAAACAAAACATAGTGGTGCAGTCATGTTTAGCACCCTTTCTATTACAAAGATTTATCAACATTTACATCTTTAATATTCACGTTAAATAGCGAGGTGCTGATAACATCAGGACCTTTCGCTTGGAGGAGTTACTTAGGTAACCAAAAGATGCTCCTGAATAAACATAGAGAAACGGTGTTACAACTATATAGGTTTTTTCAGCTCTCACACACTCTGGCTCAATAATAATACTTGCATTTGATATAGTGCTTTTCACGTTGGGAGGACGTCCCAAAGCGCTTCACAGAACACTCTGTAAAGTGAATTGACTGTATATTTGTGGGCGAACGCGGCAGCCAATTGCGCACAGCAATGTCCCACAAACAGTCATGGATTGAAGTGACCAATTTATTATTGTTTTTGGTTTTGGAGGGATTATTAAGTGAATTAACACAGTTTCCTCAGATATCATTGGTAGCCAGTGTTTAAATTATATTTACTTTGCAATTCCACATTTTTTTTTCTTCTATGGAGTGTATGGTACCCCGCTTGCTTAATCCTGGGAAATTTAGGTGTGGTTTGGCAAAATCCGAGGTTAGGGGACCCCATAGTGGGTGTTGGGGAACTGCTGGTACTTAACCAGCTGAAACCATGCAGCCTACTATTACAATGGGAAGCTTCCTGTTGCAAGTCCATCTGGAACCACTGCCTGACAGATTATCAGAAGTCAAAATGGGAAGTATCCCAGCCAGTGACTGGGCTTCTCCTCCCAAGTCTTGCCAATAAGCCACGCTTCCTGGTCCAATATCAACAGTGCCTTGAAAAACTGTGGACGTGTATGGTTCAGATATTGGATTTCTGAGACCACAGAGGATTGACTCTATTTTCAAAATTCCATTGCTAGGCATGTTGCCATGGAGCCAATTCAGCCCAAAAGATTCCCTACCTCCCTCCTTTCCGCTCCCTGTCTTGAGGATAGTCACTAGTTGGTCATTAGACATCTGCCAAGCACAGGTTTCAGGTCTCACTGGGAGGATGGCACCTTCCAGCAATTCCTCACAAACTACAGGGTGAGCAGCAAAACTCAACATAACATCAAATGCACAAGTGCAATGTCATCATCCTCCTGACCACAGCCTAGACACTGGCCCTATCCATTGAGTGGAGATTCTGCTCCTTGAAGGGGGGAATTTCAGCAGCAGCAATTAAATAAGTACAGGATTCATCCAATTATTCTCAACCTTCAACATTTTTGTGAAAAAAAAGTTAGTTAAATTGATTTCTAGGATAGCTCAGTTGGATTCTAGTGGTGATAGTTTCACAATGGAGGACTCAGACTTGCTTTTGAAATCCTAACCCGTTGTTTTGCTAATTGTAGATTATTTGCTTTGGCTGAGTGGCAAGTTCTTCCTTCACATCAGCTGATTAGTTATGGGGGGTCTGTCCTATCTTAATGAATTTCTGTGCTGTATGATGAGTACAATGTTGGAAAGTCGCTGGGGTGGTCATTCAGATTTTATTAAATAGGGTGAATTAGCAGTATTGAATAATGCATTTGTTCATTGTGCTGTCCCTTCATGTTCCTGAAATATTGCCTGGCTTAGTATCCCTCACCTCCTCTGGATTTGCCTGCATTGAGATTGGGCTTTTCATGCTAATTTACCAGCATTATAATAATAATCCTTGCATTTGATATAGTGCTTCTCATGTCTTCTAGATGTCTCAAATCGCTTCACAGAATTTACTGTAAAGTGAATTGACTGTATATTTGTGGGTGAAACAAAGCAGCCAGTCGCGCACAGCAGTGTCCACAAACAGTCGTGCATTGAAGTGACCAATTTTATTGTTTTTCTTTTTCTTGAGGGATTATTATCAGGCCTGTGGAATGAGGAAACATGTCCAAGGTTTCGCCCTGCCGGGAATTGAGCCCAGGTCTATCGCTTGTTTCACCCACAAAAAAAAACAATTAACTTGATAGTATACTCCGTGAAGCACTTTGAGAGGTCTCGAAGACGGGACAAGGCGCTATATTGGCCATATTGGCTGCTGCGTTTCGCCCACAAATATTCAATCAATTACAGTAATCAATTACTGTAATCAATTACAGTACATTCTGTGAAGCAACTTGAGACGTCTAGAAAACATGAGAAGCGCTATATCAAATGCAAGTACTATTATTATAATGCTGGTAAATTAGCATGAAAAGCCCAACCTCAATGCAGGCAAATACAGAGGAGGTGAGGGATACTAAGGTAGGCTTCAGGAACATGAAGGGACAGCACAATGAACAAATACATTATTAAGTACTCAGCTGCCTCTGCCGCTCCAACTACTACCCCCTGCCCATCTCCTCCTCCCACCCCCTACCCACCTCACCCTCCACACCTTTGAACTTGTCTCCCCCTCTCTGATCACCACCATAATCCGTATGAAACCCACCACCTGCTCCTTCAACCCCATCCCTACACCCCTCCTTACCTCCCAGCTCCATCTCCTTGCCCCTCTACTCACTGACATTGTTAACCTCTCCCTGTCCTCTGGTACTGTTCCTACCACATTAAAAACCGCTGTCATCACTCTTATCCTTAAAAAAAACCCTCCAATCTCTACTCTAACTACCACCCCATCTCCAACCTCTCCAAGTTCCTGGAACAAGTTGTTGCTTCTCAGCTTCGCTCCTTCCTCTTCCGCCACTCCCTTCTTGAATCCCTCCAATCGGGCTTCTGTGCTGCCCACAGCACAGAAACCGCCCTTGTCAAAGTGACAAATGACATTCTGTCCACCTGCGACCGGGGCTCCTTCTGCCTCCTCGTCGTCCTTGACCTCTCTGCTGCGTTCAACACCATCGACCAATCTATCCTCATTTACCACCTCTCCTTTCACCTCAGCCCTCCATGGGGCTGTCCTTGATTGGTTCAGATCATACCTCTCACACCGCCTGCACTTCATCTCCTCAAACGGCTTCTCCTCTCGCCCCGGACCATCTCATGCTGTGTTCCTCAGGGCTCTTTCCTTGGTCCTCTCCTCTTCAATATCCATATGCTCCCTCTTGGTGACATCATCCGCAGACATGGGGTCAACGTCCAACAACAACAACAAGATTCCATTTATTGAGCGCCTTTCACGTCGGGAGGACGTCCCACCCTTGACTCCAGGACCACTGTTGTGCTTACAGAATGTCTGTCAGACATCAAGTCCTGGATGAGAGCTAACTTTCTTCAGTTGAACGTCAACTAGACCGAGGCCTTCCTGATTGGCTCCCGTCAGCGCCTCCTCACCTCAGGCTCTGACAGTATCACCATCCATGGTTGCACACTCCACTTTACTAAGCCAGTCCGGAATCTTGGCATCTTGTTTGACCCTCAACTATCCTTTCTACCCCACATCTGCGCCATGACCCGCTCTGCCTTCCCCCACCTCCGCAACGTCGCCCAGCTCCGACACTGTCTCACACCACAAGGCCGAAACCCTCATACATGCCTTCATTACATCGAGGCACGACTATGCAAACTCCTTGCTAGTCGGCCTCTCCAACTCCTCCCTCCACAGGCTGCAGATCATCCTGAACTCTGCAGCACGTGTCCACTTTCACACAACGCTTCGCTACCTTATCACCCCCATCCTTGCCCAACTCCACTGGCTTCCCATCACACAGAGGATACAGTTTCAGATCTTGGTCCTCACCTTCAAAGCCCTCCATGGTCTTGTTCACCCCTACCTCTCCGACTTCCTAACTCCCTACCACCCTGATCGCTCACTCCGCTCAGCGGGCTTCGGCCTGCTTTACATCCCCCGCCACTCTAGCCCCGGACCATCTCATGCATTGGAACTCCATTCCGAGTCCCTCCGTCTCGCCCCCTCCCTCGCCACCTTCAAGACCCACCTCAAGACCCTCCTCTTCGACTGTGCTCGGGTCCGTAACTCTGTTCAGCGCCTTCGGACATCCTCCCGACATGAAAGGAGCTACACAAATGTAATTTTGTTGTTGTTATCAAATGAAAAGATTATTACCATATTATGAATTATTTAGTTAATGTGTGTGTCACGGTTAAAGGTTTTAAAAACTACATTAGTTTGAAGTTCAATCAAAATGTTGTGAACTGAACACAATGATATTATCGTTGTCAATGTCCAGGGGATATTTTAGTTCAAATATAAAACGCAATACATCCCGCCAACTTCTTTATTTCGGAGTATGTAAATTCTCCCTATGACATGTACAACAGGCAGTAAATTAAACAAGAACTCTCCTCCGTGGCTTCTGCCACAAGGTGAAAAAGAATAACCAGTTTTTGTTTATTCCTTCTACTGTGTGGAAAGGTGCGTTTAGTCAAGCACTAGCCAATTTCCCATAAAAGCTGTGATGAGTGTTTGAGGATTTTATTGAGGGGTGGGGGGAGGAGATTGCACTGACATAAGCATAACTTCTGTTATGTTTTTGAGTGCTAGATACCATTTTAAGAATTCAAACTACATATGTTTTCTGTCCTGAGTAATATCTGCTAAATTGTGAATTTGTAATACTAAGTTTGCTTGCTTACGCATTGAATTTGACCGAACTAATAAGACTGACCTTATTTTGTTTGGTGCTATTGAAGTGTTGAAAGAGTTGAGAAAAAAATTCAAGCCTGCTAGCTCTGGTGCCCCACCTCATTTAATAGCATTTGGCAGTGATCTTTGCTATTTGTTTGCTTTAGTGGGGTGTTCAAACCAGTCATATCTTCAAATACTGCATGGTGCAATCTGCTACCTACTAAACTTTGCACCAATAACATTTCTTTGTAGTCCAGAAGGCAGCTACTTTGATTGGATGTGAGACGACTGAGGATTCTGGATCAGACATTCCCACAGCTGCGAAGCACTACCTATGACTCCTTTCAAAAAGCTCCAGGTTATAATGATTCACCTTTTGTTGGCTAATAAGGATGTGACGCGACAAGACAAATGCTCAGCAGCTCAGTAAATTCATTTTCAGTTTTTAAAAGTGCTGTGATTTTTCTGGATTTTACCTATGATTCTTGCTGAAAAACGTCCTCCTTCCTCACCAGTATCTGACATAAAATGTATTTGCTGGGGTGTTCGAACAACAAACAGCATGGAGGTAAAGAGTCTCCAAGCAGAAGGTATTGTCACAAAAGACTTGTCTTACTTACAAACGGTCTTTTTCAGCACACAGAGGCTACTTGACCTATCCTGCCTGTTTTTTTTAAAAAAACAACCTCTTTAAAAGCAGTCCCACTTAGAAAACGGCAAGGTAACTTGAAAAACTGGTTGTTTATTCGTAATGAAATGTAATTTTTTTTTAAAAAAGGCTGCTACAATGTGCTTTTTCTAAGTTAAGTTTAAATCATATTTAAATCAGTTGTGTGGATAAAAAATTGCAGTAAAATTGTCATTTCCTACTAATTTTTAGACTCAAAATATTTTTTGGAACGGTTCTGTCTCCTGCATCTCAAACCTCTATATATACAAGCTTGTGAGATAATATACAGAGAGTTCTAATGATGCAGTTGAGCTGGCTGGATAGAAGATTTGTGAGTGGCTGGGTATGACTGTTTTTTTCTCTCTCTCCCTCTCTGCTCTCTTTCTCTTTCCCGCCCCCCCACCCCCCCTTTTCTGTAAAACAGCTGCTTCTGCTCAACATATTTACCCCTTGGTCAAGATTGGACTTGTATTGTAGTCGTTTAAGCACCATAACGCATTATTTTCCACTCTTGGAGAATCAATGTCCTGTAACACAGTATAGTTCTCTACAGGTTTTTTAAAACAGTATTAAACCTTAATTAAGAAGGACAGCAAGTCTATGGAGACTCCCAACTCGGAGTAACGTATAGTACTAGTTTTGTTTATTTTTATCAAGTGCACTGACCTGTTGAAAAACTAATCTGATGATTATAAAATTACTCAAACATCAGGGAAAGCTTTTTACTGCAATACATAAATACAAAATACATCACTGAAACCAAAAGCATTTTTGAAAAATACTGCAAGCACTTGCTGTGGTGGCACCTTTTCTCATTATTTTCTTCCCTATTCTCTCTGTCCTTTGTTTATTTTAGCTTACCTTTATTATGTTATACTTCTACCTATTCTAACCTTTTCTTTCCAACATTTCAACATTCATATTTTCTCATCTTTAGCCTTTTTGTTTGTTCTCATCTTTAATTGAGGAGATTCATTGATTCATTAATTTAATCCTTTTCAGAATAATTCATTTTCTTTGGCTCACTTCCATCCTCACAATGATTTTGCAGCCAATCAAAAGTTCAAACATAGGCAGAGATGCATTGGGTTAGAGGCCCCATCAATCTCTAACCTAAGCGGAAAGTCAGGATACTGCGAATTGTTTGATTCGTTACACGAAAGAGTAGTTGAAGTCTGGGCCCTGATGTGTGTCTTCAAGAACTTGAAGGTGTAAATGGGAAGACTGTGATTTGTTGGTATTGTGGAAGGATGAGATGAAATGAGTTGAAGGGCTTCCCTTCATCCAAACTGTTCTTGTGAATGCAAATACACATCTGTGACATCCACAGATTAAATTCTGATGTCTGCTGTGCTTTAATATTTTCTCTTAAGAGTATTGAACTTTTGGCTTGGCATAATCTAGTAATTTTGGGGGAGAGTGAAGATAATAATAATAATAATCCTTGAATTTGATATAGCGCTTTTCACGTCTTCTAGACGTCTCAAAGCACTTCACAGAATAAACTGTAAAGTGAATTGACTGTATATTTGTGGGCGAAATGCAGCAGCCAATTGCGCACAGCAGTGTCCCACAAACAGTCGTGGATTGAAATGACCAATTTATTATTGGGTTTTTTCTTGAGGGATTATTATCAGGCATGTGGAGTAAGGAAACTTGCCCAAGGTTTCACCCTGTGAAAATAAACTTGTTTTCTGTTCTGTCTATTCTAATTTTCTCAATGATGAATAATTTTCATGCTTCCAAATAAATACTTCTCTCTCTACCCCCACATCATCCACCTCCCATGTGGAATTGAAACTGTATATTATAAATAAGAATGGATCCAAGCCAATACAGTACCATTATAATGTGCTTTATAACATGAATTTGGTTATAGGGTGGTTGTGGCAAAGTGCCAATTTACTGCACAAGTTCAATCTGGCTCACCTGCTTCCCTCTTGCTGGGCAGCTTTCACTGAAGTGTCATAATTCGAGGTCATTAGGTTGCCACTAACATCCTTTCCACTTTATTGCACATACAACCTGCTGACCCAGAAGTTGGCCATTTTAGCTTCCTGTGCTACAAACCTGACTGACATACCGGTTAAAGTTGCTGCCAACGTCACTTCTTGCTTCGTGCTTACACAGTATACAGGAAGGCAACCTAATAACTTGGAAGTCGGCAATTTTTTTTAGAAGAGTATGAACTGGCCACCATGCTTGAGTGAGATGGGCTAGTGTGTGCAAGTGCAGTGATATCAGCTATTGTGCATTGCTATAGGTTTGGTACTAAGCCAGCCATCACATTATAACAAGGCTCCACTGTAACATAATCTTAAAGCTCAAACCGTTCTATATTGTTCAGTTTATGAAGTAAGAACACCTTGATTCAATTTGTGTTGTAATCCACACAAATTCTGCATTCCATCTGTATAGTTTCCATTACATGTTCCAGATATTTTAGTTGATTATACCCTTGTGATATAGGATCTGCTATTTTTCTAGCATGCATTCAAATCGGATTCGAAAGCACTGAAGCAAACCCACTTCAATTGACCATATGCCTTGAAATCAACCACAGGCGGATGAATAAAGCTCCTAAAACGTGCCTCAAACTGTGTGTCTGTGTGCATGAGCACAGCCCTCGAGTGTTACAATCTTGATCTTCTTGTTTATGGATCTATCCTAAGTTTATATTCATTAACTTGACTGGAAATGTAATTTGAAGGATTACCATAAACTAATGAAGATAGTTTATGAATTTGTGGCAAACTATAGCCTGAGATTTCTCACTGTGCAGCTTTTGTGACGTGTATGTGTTTCACCCCCGACCCTGATAATTTAAAAATTGTATTTTTACCCATTAGTAGATTGCACTTTATTTCTAAGCCTTCCTTTGCAACCTCTCCCAAGAACTCTTCATTCTGTATTCTACAGACCACTCATTATGGAAGTGGGAATGTAACCCAGCAAGATTTAAACATGGTACAAAAAGACTATACTAATTTTTCAATGCGTATATATTGTTAAGCCGCTTGTTCAATGCCAGCAGCTTTCTTACCCATTAATTTACATTAAGAACATAAGAATTTGCTAGGCAAATGAAGACCAAGTTCCATTTAGTTCACCTTCTATCATCCTGGTAGTCGCTTGACATGTGTCCTAAACTATATACTGGATCCTGAGATATTATTTTCTAGCAAAAATCTATCTGATTCGTTCTTGAAACAGACAACATTTTCTGCTTCCGCTGTCTCCCTAAGGATAACCCCGCTCACTGAAGTAGTGTTTCTGCAGATTTGTTCTGAATTTAACCCCCTTCAATCGCAGGCCGTGTCCTCTGGTTCTATTGTTCAGTACAAGATAAAACAGCTTATCGTGGTCTACATTATCTATTCCCTTCAGAATGTTAAAGACTGTAATCATATTGCCCCACAACCTTCTCTTCTCCAGTGTGAACACACCCAGTTTGTCTAATTGGATAATATTGTTAAATGTTAATTTGGCGCTGACAAACTTGATGGCATACAAAAATGTATGGCCACAATTTGATTCTAGCTATGTATGATTGTTGATTTGACACCCTTCAAAGTGGATGTAATTGCCTAATACCTGTCCACAGGATCATGGATATATCTGTAGTTTCCTTAATTATGTGGTAATAATAATCATTGCATTTGACATGGCACCTTTCATGTTAGGAGAACATCTCAAAATGCTTCATATGATTCATTTGACTGTCATCATTATTTTTGAAGGAACACCAAGGCAAGATATTTTTGAACATGTTTTACTAGAAATTCAGAAATTAATATTGAACTTGACTTGCGTGCTCTTCTCTAATTCTGAATAGTAGCCTTATTCTCCTGACAGGAACAGTACCTTTATTTTAATTAACAAATCTTTGTACTTTCATTTGTTTGATCAGTTGATGTCTTAACACATTTCTGTCCTTCTAGTAAAAACATGTTCAAAATGTGTTCAAATCTTAAGTGAAGGCCTTAAGCTTTGCCTTGCGTAAGTTTACCACTTGAGTAAACCCATCACCATACTTTGGATACTCTTAAACATGGCGATGGGTTTCCACACGCGTCAGACACCCGGCTGCAAACAAAAATTGTACATTATCTACTGTACAAGTTGAAGTTTTAAAAAAAACTTTCAACTACAACAGAGAGGGAGAGAATTGAGTGAGAACTGGATAGCGTAATGTGTAATGGACATGTAATTTAATGAAAACCCTATGGGATAGGAGAAGAAACATTTGCCATTTCACTCGAGCTTCATTCTTGCATCTGAGTTTTCTTGCAATCATTTGCATATGTTGATATAAACCAGGTAAAGAATTTTCTTGCATTCTCCTGAAGATTCTTCATTGATAAATATACAATAATACTAATGTCTTTTTTGCCTTTTTTTTCCTCTTCCCAAAGTAACAGAATAGTGCATGCTGGTCTGCAATTTAGACAATTTGTGGTTGCCCTCTGGTACCTTAGAATAAATAAATTTCTTAGAATAAATAGCACGTACCAGAGGTAGACTGTTCAATTCTGCAGCCATTACAAGCGAGTTCGATTTTTTTGTTCTCGTTTATGCAGATTTCTAGCAGCGTCACTGAATACTGTTCAGTGGGAAGCCAGTCTGATTTTCCTTTCTTCTCGTGGGGTTGGGGTGGGGCAAGAGGGGATAGAAACTGAAACCATTTGTAGTACCCCTATTACTTCTCTGCCTAGACAAGTGCAGGCCAAGACCCAAGCCGAGCATTACCTCAGTCCAACATAAGCAGTTGCATTTTAACCACTGAGCCATCTAAGGCAACCTTGGTGGTGTCTTTATTAATAATAATATAATCCTTGCATTAGGTACAGCGCCTTATCACGTCTTCGAGATGTCTCAAAGTGCTTCACAGGATATACTGCAAAGCGAATCGACATTTTG